AAAACGGCCTCTTCCACCAGCTCCTGCCGCGGGCATTTCTCCTCCCTGCTCTCCATGCTCAGCTCCTGCTCTGGGCGAGGAAGGACAAGGACACCATGCGATTTGCCTCCGTGCCACAGCCGAGGGCAACGACATCCCCCCAGGGCGTCCCCAGCAGGACGGCACCGCCACCCCCCGATGTCCCCCCGAGGGGCCTTTTCCGCTCAGCCTTGGACTTCTTCATTCTCCAAACATCCACCCAAAAACCCAACATAGGGACCCCCCGGGATATCAGGGCCGGGCTCCCCCTCCCTGCTCACCGGCGCGATGCGGGGGCGATGATCCCACAGGTGGGGGCTGCGAATTCAGGCAGGGTCGACCGCGGGGATCCGTCCGCTCAGCCTTGATCCGCCTTTGTCCCTCCTCTTCCTCTTCCTCCCGCTCCTCCTCTTCCTTTCCCCCTCCCGCTCCTCAGCGTTATCTCCGCCTTCTTCTCCTCTTCAATCCCGCCCCTTCCATCCCTTCTCCTCTTCCTGCTCCCTGACCCCACCTTCTTCTTCTCCTCCCATCGCTGCTCACTCTCCGCCTTCATCCCTCCTCTTCAATCTCCGCTTTCCCTGCTCCTCTCCCCAAACCGGCTGGAACGGCGAGGGGAAAAGGGCAGGGAAAGGGCGGGAACCGTGAGGGGAAAGGGGGCGGGGAAAGGGCGGGAACCGTGAGGGGAAAGGGGGCAGGGAAAGGGCGGAACCGTGAGGGGAAAGGGGCGGGCTCAGGCCAAGGGCGGCAACTGTGAGGGGACGCTCTGGGAGGCGGCACTCTGCGAACAGAATTGCACCGGTCTGAACATGAACGGGAAAGAAAGTTGTAAGTCTCAGAGTTTTATTTGCTATCAAATACATCATGCTCAGCCAGCCCATAACAATCCACATCCGTGAGGTTGAGCAGCGCACGAAACTCTGCCCGCAATCGGTGCCCTCGCAGGGCTTCCTTTCGTGGTGCTTCCGTTGGTGTCGGGTCAAGTGAGAGCTGCTGGAGAAGCTCTTCCCACACTGGGGACACTCGTAGGGCCTCTCCCCAGTGTGGATGCGCCGGTGGGTGACGAGGGTGGAGTTCTTCTTGAATCCCTTCCCACAGTCGGGTCAGCGGAAGGGCCTCTCCTCTGTGTGAATCCGATAGTGCAGGAGGAGAGGAGAGCTGGTCCGACACCTCTTTCTGCATTTATCACACTCATAGGGCCTCTCCCCTGTGTGGATACTCTGGTGGTTGATCAGGTCCGATCTCCATCTGAAGCTCTTCCCACACTCCCCACACTCGTAGGGCCTCTCCCCAGTGTGGGGCCTCTGGTGCTGGATCAGGTCGCTGTTCCACCTGAAGCTCTTCCCACACTCCCCGCACGTGTGGGGCTTCTCCCCATCACGGAGCTGCTCACGGAGCAGCAGCTCCAAGTCCCACTGTTCCCGGTTTTTGAGGTCCTAAATCCTCCCAAACTCCCCCAAATTTTGGAGTGCCAGTGTCCATCTTTGGGGAGCCCGTGCCCGTTTTTGGGGTGCCCGTGCCTGTTTTTGTGGTCCCTCCATTCCCCATTTTTTGGGATCCCAAGTTCCCCAAAGCTCTCACAAATTTTAGGTTCCCCGTACCGATTTTTGGTCTGCCTGTGTCCATTTTTGGGGTCCCTCCATTCCCAGATTTTGGGTCGCAAATTCCCCCAATTTTCGGGATGCCAGTGCCCGTTTTTGGGGTGTCCCGTGCCCATTTTTGGGGTATCCCGTGCCCGTTTTTGGGGTGTCCCGTACCCTGCTCCAGCGCCAGCCCCAGCGTTACCCGCCCGGTTCTGCCGGTGGCTCCGAAGATCGCGATCTTCATCCCCGGTGCCGTGAACCGAACCGAACCGGACCGAACCGAACCGGACTGAATCGAACCGGACCGACCCGTACCGAACCGGATCGAACCAGGAACGGGATCAAGATCGGGATCCGGGATCGGGATTTGGGATCGGGACCGAGACTCGAACCGGGACCGCGATCGGGACCGGAACCGAGACTGAAACCGGGATTCGAGATCGGGATCGGCACCGGGAGCTCCGCGATGGCACCGAGGAGTTTTGGGAGGGAACTGGGAGGGACTGGGAGGGAACTGGGAGGGACTGGGAGGAACGGGGAGGGACGGGGCGGGAACTGAGAGGGACTGGGAGGGACTGGGAGGAACGGGGAGGGACTGGGAGGAACGGGGAGGGACTGGGCGGGACAGGGCGGGGCGGGACGGCCTCCGTTCGCTCGGTTCCGGTGCAGCCGCCCCTGTCGGGATGGTCCCGGTCCATATTTGATCCCAGTCCATAGTTTACACCAGTTCCATATTTGATCCCAGTCCTGCTTTGATCCCAGTCCATATTTAATCCTAGTCAATATTAGATCCCAGTCAATAGTTTATCAAAGTCCATATTTGATCTTAGTCAACATTTGATCCCAATCTATTTGATCCCAGTCCCTAATTGATCCCACTCCATTAATCCCAGTCCTTATCGCCCTGCACACATTCCAAAAGTCTGGAATTCCAGCTCCCAGACAGGAAAAGATGTCCCCGACCTTGAAGGCAAATGCAGCAAAATCCTCCAGAGACATTTCCCTGCCAGCCCCCAGGACTTCAGCTCCTGGGAATTAAAATATTAACCAAGAAATGTAATAATAAAAAATCAGGGGAAGGTCGGTGGGGACAGAGGGGTCAATTACATCAGGGAAGGGGTCAATTAAATCAGGGCAGGATCAATTAAATCAGGCAAGGGGTCAATTAAATCAGGGCAGGGGCCAATTAAACCACGGCAAGATCAATTAAATCAGGCAAGGGGTCAATTAAATCAGGCAAGGGGTCAATTAAATCAGGCAAGGGGCCAATTAAATCAGGGCAGGGTCTCTGGTGGTCCCAGGGTCAAGGGAGACACTGAGAGAGAAACAGAGCAGGCAAAGAGAGGCAGGAGAGAAAAGGGGACACGAACACAATGAGCTGAGCAGGCGGCACTGTGCAAACAGAACTGCAACGGACTGAACATGAACGGGAGAGAAATCTGTAACTCTGAGAGTTTTATTTGCTATCAAATACACCCCACACGCCCAGCCCCACACAATCCCCACCCCACCGCTCTAATTGAGATCCCACTACTGTAAATCACAGGCTGGCTGTAGAATCGAGGATAATTTGTACAGGATGGAGTTTTTCTCAGGAGAGATTGAGCATTCTGGGGCAAGACTGAGCTGTTTTCACTGGGATTTGAGTCGTTTTGAGGTGACAGATTCATCGCTCTTGGCTTCTGGAGTGCAAAGAGATCGAGAAGAGTAAAAAATTAATGTGATATTAAATGGAGAACCAGCCAGATGTGTTGCCAACATGGATCACAGGGAATGATAGTGACCAGGGCTGTGCCCACAGTGGCTCCTCCAGTGGGGGATGGAGCTGGAGCAGCGCACGAAGCTCTGCCCGCACTCAGGGCACTCGCAGAGCTTCCCTCACCGGTGCCCCTGTTGGTGTCGGGTCAAGCTAGAGCGCTGTGAGAAGCTCTTCCCACACTGGGGACACTCATAGGGCCTCTCCCCTGTGTGGATGCGCCGGTGCCTGACGAGGCAGGAGTTTTCCTTGAATCCCTTCCCACAGTCGGGGCATTGGAAGGGTCTATCCTCTCTGTGAATCCAATAGTGCTGGAGGAGATGGGAGCTCCTAGTAAAGCACTTCCCACACTTGGAACACTCGTAGGGCCTCTCCCCTGTGTGGATGCGCCGGTGGGTGATGAGCTGGTCGCTGTGCTTGAATCCCTTCCCACACTCAGGGCATTGGAAGGGTCTATCATCTCTGTGAATCCGATAGTGCTTGAAAAGACTGGAGCTTTGATTAAAGCCCTTCCCACATTTGGAACACTCGTAGGGCTTCTCCCCAGTGTGGATCCTCTGGTGCCTGGTCAGGCCCGAGCTGTCTGTGAAGCTCTTCCCACACTCCCCACACTCGTAGGGCCTCTCCCCAGTGTGGGTCCTCTGGTGTTGGATCAGTCCGCAGTTCCTCCTGAAGCTCTTCCCACACTCCCCGCACGTGTGGGGCTTCTCCCCATCACGGAGCTGCTCACGCAGCACCAGCTCCGAGCTCTGGCTCCATCTCCGGCCGCCTTCCCGGCCCAGGCCGCCTCTTTCCCCCTCACATCCCCGCCAGCTGCCTTTGCAGCCCCTCTTCGTGCGGCATCTCCGCGCCTTTTCCTCCCCGTTGCCTTCCTGCGCCGTGGAGCCGCTCAAAACGGCCTCTTCCACCAGCTCCTGCCGCGGGCATTTCTCCTCCCTGCTCTCCATGCTCAGCTCCTGCTCTGGGCGAGGAAGGACAAGGACACCATGCGATTTGCCTCCGTGCCACAGCCAAGGGCAACGAGATCGCCCCAGGGCGTCCCCGGCAGGACGGCACCGCCACCCCACGATGTCCCCCCGAGGGGCCTTTTCCGCTCAGCCTTGGACTTCTTCATTCTCCAAACATCCACCCAAAAACCCAACCCAGGGATCCCCCGGGATATCAGGGCCGGGCCTCACCCTCCCTGCTCACCGGCGCGATGCGGGGGCGATGATCCCACAGGTGGGGGCTGCGAATTCAGGCAGGGTCGACCGCGTGGATCCGTCCGCTCAGCCTTGATCCGCCTTTGTCCCTCCTCTTCCTCTTCCTCTTCCTCCCGCTCCTCCTTTTCCTTTCCCCCTCCCGCTCCTCAGCCTTAACTCCGCCTCCTTCTCCTCTTCCATCTCGCCGCTTCCATCCCTTCTCCTCCTCCTGCTCCCTGACCCCACCTTCTTCTTCTCCTCCCATCGCTGCTCTCTCTCCGCCTTCATCCCTCCTCTTCCATCTCCCCTAGCCCTGCTCCTCTGCCCAAACCGGCTGGAACGGCGAGGGGAAAAGGGCAGGGAAAGGGCGGGAACCGTGAGGGGAAAGGGGGCGGGGAAAGGGCGGGAACCGTGAGGGGAAAGGGGGCAGGGAAAGGGCGGAACCGTGAGGGGAAAGGGGCGGGCTCAGGCCAAGGGCCGCAACTGTGAGGGGACGCTCTGGGAGGCGGCACTCTGCGAACGGAATTGCAACGGTCTGAACATGAACGGGAAAGAAAGTTGTACCTCTCAGAGTTTTTTTTGCTGTCAAATACATGTTGCTCAGCCAGCGCATAACAATCCACATCCGTGAGGTTGAGCAGCGCACGAAGCTCTGCCCGCACTCGGGGCACTCGCAGGGCTTCACTTCGTGGTGCTTTCGTTGCTGTCGGGTCAAGTGAGAGCTGCTGGAGAAGCTCTTCCCACACTGGGGACACTCGTAGGGCCTCTCCCCAGTGTGGATGCGCTGGTGGGTAACAAGGGTGGAGTTGTACTTGAATCCCTTCCCACAGTCGGGGCAGCGGAAGGGCCTCTCCTCTGAGTGAATCCGATAGTGCAGGAGGAGATCAGAGCTGGTCCGAAACCTCTTCCTGCATTTATCACACTCGTAGGGCCTCTCCCCTGTGTGGATGCGCCGGTGGGTGACGAGGGTGGAGTTTTGCTTGAATCCTTTCCCACAGTCGGGGCATTGGAAGGGCCTCTCCTCTCTGTGAATCCAATAGTGCTTGAGGAGATCAGAACTGCACTGAAACGTCTTCCCACACTTGGAACACTTGTAGGGCCTCTCCCCAGTGTGAGTCTTCTGGTGCCTGATCAGGTTGGAGTTCCTGCTGAAGCTCTTCCCACACTCCCCACACTCGTAGGGCTTCTCCCCAGTGTGGATCCTCTGGTGTTCGATCAGGTCCGATCTCCATCTGAAGCTCTGCCCACACTCCCCACAGTCATAGGGCCTCTCCCCAGTGTGGATCCTCTGGTGCCTGATCAGGTCGCTGTTCCACCTGAAGCTCTTCCCACACTCCCCGCACGTGTGGGTCTTCTCCCCATCACGGAGCTGCTCACGGAGCAGCAGCTCCAAGTCCCACTGTTCCCGGTTTTTGGGGTCCTAAATTCCCCCAAACTCCCCCAAATGTTGGGGTGCCAGTGTCCATCTTTGGGGAGCCCGTGCCCGTTTTTGGGGTGCCCCTTGCCCATTTTTGTGGTCCCTCCATTCCCATTTTTTGGGGTCCCAAGTTCCCCAAAGCTCTCACAAATTTAAGGTTCCCCGTACCGATTTTTGGGCTGCCTGTGTCCATTTTTGGGGTCCCTCCATTCCCAGATTTTGGGTCGCAAATTTCTCCAAATTTCGGGATCGCAGTGCCCGTTTTGGGGTGTCCCGTGCCCTGCTCCACCGCCAGCCCCAGCGTTACCCGCCCGGTTCTGCCGGTGGCTCCGAAGATCGCGATCTTCATCCTCGGTGCCGTGAACCGAACCGAACCGGACCGAACCGGATGAATCGAACCGGACCGAACCGGACCGAACCGAACCGGACTGAATCGAACCGGATCGAACCGAACCGAACCGGATCGAACCAGGAACGGCATCAAGATCGGGATCCGGGATCGGGATTTGGGATCGGGACCGAGACTCGAACCGGGACCGCGATCGGGACCGGAACCGAGACTGAAACCGGGATTCGAGATCGGGATCGGGAGCTCCGCGATGGCTCCGAGGAGTTTTGGGAGGGAACTGGGAGGGACTGGGAGGAACTGGGAGGTAACTGGGAGGGAACTGGGAGGAACGGGGAGGGAACTGAGAGGGACTGGGAGGGAACTGGGAGGAACGGGGAGGGACTGGGCGGGACGGGACGGCCTCGGTTCGCTCGGTTCCGGTGCAGCCGCCCCTGTCGGGATGGTCCCGGTCCATATTTGATCCCAGTCCATAGTTTACACCAGTTCCATATTTGATCCCAGTCCTGCTCTGATCCCAGTCCATATTTAATCCTTGTCAGTATTAGATCCCAGTCCATAGTGTATCAAAGTCCATATTTGATCTTAGTCAATATTTGATCCCAATCTATCCCAATCTATTTGATCCCAGTCCACATTTGATCCCAGTCCATATTTAATCCCAGTCCCTAATTGATCTCACTCCATATCTAATCCCAGTCCTTATTGCCCTGCATACATTCCAAAAGTCTGGAATTCCAGCTCCCAGCCAGGAAAAGATGTTCCCGACCTTGAAGGCAAATGGAGCAAAATCCTACAGAGACATTTCCCTGCCAGCCCTCAGGACTTCAGCTCCTGGGACTGGGAATTAAAATAAAAATCGGGAAATGGAATAAAAAACAATCAGGGGAGGGTCGGTGGGGACAGAGGGGTCAATTAAATCAGGGGAGGGGTCAATTAAATCAGGCAAAGGGTCAATGAAATCAGGGGAGGGGTCAATGAAATCAGGGCAGGATCAATTAAATCATGCAATGGGTCAATTAAATCAGGGCAGGGTCTCTGGTGGTTCCAGGGTCAAGGGAGACACTGAGAGAGAAACAGAGAAGGCAAAGAGAGGCAGGAGAGAAAAGGGGACACGAACACAATGAGCTGAGCAGGCGGCATTGTGCAAACAGAACTGCAACGGACTGAACATGAACGGGAGAGAAATCTGTAACTCTGAGAGTTTTATTTGCTATCAAATACACCCCACACGCCCAGCCCCACACAATCCCCACCCCACCGCTCTAATTGAGATCCCACTACTGTCAATCACAGGCTGGCTGTAGAATCGAGGAAAATTCGTACGGCATGGAGTTTTTCTCAGGAGGGATTGAGCATTCTGGGGCAAGACTGAGCTGTTTTCACTGGGATTTGAGTCGTTTTGAGGTGACAGATTCATCTCTCTTGGCTTCTGGAGTGCAAAGAGATCGAGAAGAGAAAAAAATTAATGTGATATTAAATGGAGAAGCAGCCAGGTGTGTTGCCAACATGGATCTCAGGGAATGTGAGTGACCAGGGCTGTGCCCAAAGTGCCTCCTCCGGTGGGGGATGGAGCTGGAGCAGCGCACGAAGCTCTGCCCGCACTCGGGGCTCTCATAGGGCTTCACTCACCGGTGCGTCCGTTGGTGTTGGGTCAAGTTAGAGCTGCTGGAGAAGCTCTTCCCACACTGGGGACACTCGTAGGGCCTCTCCCCTGTGTGGATGCGCCGGTGGGTGACGAGGTGGGAGTTGTACTTGAATCCCTTCCCACAGTCGGGGCAGCGGAACGGCCTCTCCTCCGTGTGAATCCGATAGTGCTGGAGGAGATGAGAGCTGGTCCGAAACCTCTTCCTGCATTTATCACACTCGTAGGGCCTCTCCCCTGTGTGGATGAGCCGGTGGGTGACGAGGGTGGAGTTTTGCTTGAATCCTTTCCCACAGTCGGGGCATTGGAAGGGCCTCTCCTCTCTGTGAATCCAATAGTGCTGGAGGAGATCAGAACTGCACTGAAACGTCTTCCCACACTTGGAACACTTGTAGGGCCTCTCCCCAGTGTGAGTCTTCTGGTGCCTGATCAGGTTGGAGTTCCTGCTGAAGCTCTTCCCACACTCCCCACACTCGTAGGGCCTCTCCCCAGTGTGAATCCTCTGGTGCACGATCAGTTCGCAGTTCCACCTGAAGCTCTTCCCACACTCCCCGCACGTGTGGGGCTTCTCCCCATCACGGAGCTGCTCACGGAGCACCAGCTCCGAGCTCTGGCTCCATCTCCGGCCGCCTTCCCGGCCCAGGCCGGCTCCTTCCCCCTCACATCCCCGCCAGCTGCCTTTGCAGCCCCTCCTCGTGCGGCATCTCCGCGCCTTTTCCTCCCCGTTGCCTCCCTGCGCCGTGGAGCCGCTCAAAACGGCCTCTTCCACCAGCTCCTGCCGCGGGCATTTCTCCTCCCTGCTCTCCATGCTCAGCTCCTGCTCTGGGCGAGGAAGGACAAGGACACCATGCGATTTGCCTCCGTGCCACAGCCGAGGGCAACGACATCCCCCCGGGGCGTCCCCGGCAGGACGGCACCGCCACCCCACGATGTCCCCCGAGGGGCCTTTTCCGCTCAGCCTTGGACTTCTTCATTCTCCAAACATCCCCCCAAAAACCCAACCCAGGGACCTCCCGGGATATCAGGGCCGGGCTCCCCCTCCCTGCTCACCGGCGCGATGCGGGGGCGATGATCCCACAGGTGGGGGCTGCGAATTCAGGCAGGGTCGACCGCGGGGATCCGTCCGCTCAGCCTTGATCCGCCTTTGTCCCTCCTCTTCCTCTTCCTCTTCCTCCCGCTCCTCCTCTTCCTTTCCCCATCCCGCTCCTCAGCCTTATCTCCGCCTCCTTCTCCTCTTCCATCCCGCCCCTTCCATCCCTTCTCCTCCTCCTGCTCCCTGACCCCACCTTCTTCTTCTCCTCCCATCGCTGCTCTCTCTCCGCCTTCATCCCTCCTCTTCAATCTCCGCTTTCCCTGCTCCTCTCCCCAAACCGGCTGGAACCGTGAGGGGAAAGGGGGCAGGGAAAGGGCGGGAACCGTGAGGGGAAAGGGGGCAGGGAAAGGGCGGGAACCGTGAGGGGAAAGGGGCGGGCTCAGGCCAAGGGCGGCAACTGTGAGGGGACGCTCTGGGAGGCGGCACTCTGCAAACAGAACTGCAACGGACTAAACATGAACGGGACAGAAATCAGTAAGTCTCGAAGTTTTATTTGCACTCAAATACACCCCACACACCCAGCCCCACACAATCCCCATCCCAGCACTCTAATTGACTTCCCACTACTGTCAATCACCTCCCAACCCCATCTCAGCCTGGCGGCTGAGGAATCGAGTAAATTTCGTATGGCATGCAGTCTTTTTCGGGAGGGATTGAGCATTCTCGGGTAAGACTGAGCTGTTTTCACTGGGATTTGAGTAGTTCTGAGGTGACAGATCCATCTCCCTTGGCTTTTGGAGTGCAAAGAGATGGAGAAGAGAAAATAATTAGGGTGAAATTAAAAGGAGACGCAGCCAGGTGTGTTCCCAGCATGGATCACAGGGAATGTGAGTGACCAGGGTTGTGCCCAAGGGGGCCTCCTCCAGTGGGGGATGGAGCTGGAGCAGCGCACGAAGCTCTTCCCGCACTCGGGGCACTCGCAGGGCTCCCCTTAGTGGTGCCTCCGTTGGTGTCGGGTCAAGTTAGAGCTGGTGGAGAAGCTCTTCCCACACTGGGGACACTCGTAGGGCCTCTCCCCTGTGTGGATGCGCCGGTGGGTGACGAGGGTGGAGTTCTGCTTGAATCCCTTCCCACAGTCGGGGCAGCGGAAGGGCCTCTCCTCTGAGTGAATCCGATAGTGCTCGAGGAGCTGAGAGCTGGTCCGAAACCTCTTCCTGCATTTATCACACTCGTAGGGCCTCTCCCCAGTGTGGATGCGCCGGTGTTTGATGAGGTTGCAGTTGCGCTTGAATGCCTTCCCACACTCAGGGCATTGGAAGGGTCTATCCTCTCTGTGACTCCAGTAGTGCTCGATGAGATGGGAGCTAATCATAAACCCCTTCCGACACACAGAACACTCGTAGGGCCTCTCCCCAGTGTGGACCCTCTGGTGCTCGAGCAGGTGGGAGCTCCGAATGAAACTCTTCCCACATTGCCCACACTCGTAGGGCCGTTCCACAGTGTGGGTCCTTTGGTGGCTGATCAGATCCGACCTCCATCTGAAGCTCTTCCCACACTCCCCACACTCGTAGGGCTTCTCCCCAGTGCGGATCCTCTGGTGTTCGATCAGTTCGCAGTTCCACCTGAAGCTCTTCCCACACTCCCCGCACGTGTGGGGCTTCTCCCCATCACGGAGCTGCTCACGGAGCACCAGCTCCGAGCTCTGGCTCCATCTCCGGCAGCCTTCCCGGCCCAGGCCGCCTCTTTCCCCCTCACATCCCCGCCAGCTGCCTTTGCAGCCCCTCCTCGTGCGGCATCTCCGCGCCTTTTCCTCCCCGTTGCCTCCCTGCGCCGTGGAGCCGCTCAAAACGGCCTCTTCCACCAGCTCCTGCCGCGGGCATTTCTCCTCCCTGCTCTCCATGCTCAGCTCCTGCTCTGGGCGAGGAAGGACAAGGACACCATGCGATTTGCCTCCGTGCCACAGCCGAGGGCAACGAGATCCCCCCGGGGCGTCCCCGGCAGGACGGCACCGCCACCCCCCGATGTCCCCCCGAGGGGCCTTTTCCGCTCAGCCTTGGACTTCTTCATTCTCCAAACATCCCCCCAGAAACCCAACCCAGGGACCCCCCGGGATATCAGGGCCGGGCCTCACCCTCCTTGCTCACCGGCGCGATGCGGGGGGCGATGATCCCACAGGTGGGGGCTGCGAATTCAGGCAGGGTCGACCGCGGGGATCCGTCCGCTCAGCCTTGATCCGCCTTTGTCCCTCCTCTTCCTCTTCCTCTTCCTCCCGCTCCTCCTCTTCCATCCCCCCTCCTCCTTTTACCCGACCACACCTCCTCCTCCTCTCCCATCTCTCCCCTTTCCCTCCCTCCTCTTCCTCTCTTTCCCCACCTCCTTCTCTTCCCTCCCTCGTCCTCTTCAGTCCCTCCTCACGGAAAGGGATGGAAAGCCAAAAACTCCCCAGTACTCCCCCAAACCCCGAAGAACTTCCCCAGATTTCCCCGAGGACATTCCAACCTCCCCGCAGGATTCCCAAAACTCCCCCAGGACATTCAAACCTCCTCACAGGGTGCCCAAAACTCCCCCAGGACTCTCCAAATTCCCCCAGGACACCTCAAAACCCACTTAGGACATCCCCAAGCCCCCCCAGGACTCCCCAAAATCCCTCCAGGACATCCAAACCCCCTCCAGGATGTCCAAAACTCCCCCAGGACTCCTGAAAATCCTCCCAGGACATCCAAACCCCTCCCCAGGATTTCCCAAACCTTCCCTGGTCTCCTCACAACCTCCCCCAGGACTCCCCAAAACCGCCAGGCCAGTTTTGGGGTGCAGCGGGTGCTTTATTACATTTGTACAACGGCGGCGCTGGGGCCCCCCCGGCTTTCTATGGCTTGTGCTGGGGGAAAAGGGGGGGCCGGGACCCCAAAATTTGGGTTATGGGGGAGCCAGGACCCCAAAATTGAGGTTTTGGGCAGGCCAGGACTCCAAACTCACATTTTGGGGTGGCCAGAACCCCAGACTCGGATTCTGGGGGGACACCAGGACCCCAAAATTAAGGTTTGGGGGGTGGCCAGGACCACAAAACCAAGGTTCAGGGGGTGCCGGGACCCCCAAATTAGAGTTTGGGGCGACCTGGACCCCAAAATCGGGGCTCGGGACACCAAACCCAGGGCTCGTGGTGGGGAGGGTGGGACCCCCAAATTTATTTTTTTTTGGCGGGTCCGGGTCCCCGAAATTTGGGGGTTTGGGGGGTGTGTGAGCCCGGAGCGGGGGTTCATTCGGGGGGTTCATTTCCGCCGGGGCCGCTCGGGGTCGCGCCGGGGGAGCCCCTCGTCGGTGGAGGAGGTGGTGAGGAGCCCCTGGTGCCAGCGGGCGAGCTCGGCGTGCTCCTGAGCGCTGGCGGCCAGTGCCCGCAGCCAGCCCTGCATGTCCTCCTGCGGGGCACACGCGGGGCCGGGCACCCCGAAAACGGCGTCAGGGACCCCGAAAATGGGGTCAGGGACCTCGGAAACGGGGTCAGGGGCAATGAAAATGGGGTTGGGGGCACCAAAAATGGGGTCAGGGACCCCGAAAATGGGGTCAGGGACCTCGGAAACGGGGTCAGGGGCAATGAAAATGGGGTTGGGGACACCAAAATAGGGGTTAGGGACACCGAAAATGGGGTTGGGGACAATGAAAATGGGGTTGGGGACAATGAAAATGGGGTCAGGGACCCCAAAAATGGGGTCAGAGACACCTAAAATGGGGTCAGACACCCTAAAAATTGCATCAGGGACAACGAATGTGGGGCTAAGGAACAAAATGGGGTCAGGGACCTCGAAAAGGGGGTCGGGGACACCAAGAATGGGGTCAGGGACCCCGAAAATGGGGTTGGGGACACCAAGAATGGGGTTGGGGACCTCAGAAACCGGGTCAGGGACCTCGGAAACGGGGCTGGGGACACCAAAATGGGGTCAGGGACCTCGAAAATGGGGTCAGGGGCAATGAAAATGGGGTTGGGGACACCAAAATAGGGGTTAGGGACACCGAAAATGGGGTTAGGGACAACGGAAGTGGGGTTGAGGACACCAAAAATGGGATCAGGGACCTCGGAAATGGGGTTAGGGACCTTGAAAATGGGGTTGGGGACACCAAAAATGGGGTTAGGGACACTAAAATAGGGGTTAGGGACACCGAAAATGGGGTCAGGAACCTCAAAAATGGGGTTGGGGACACCAAAATGGGGTTGGGGACACTGAAAAGGGGTTGGGGACAATGAAAATGTGGTTGGGGACACCAAAAATGGGGTTGGGGACAATTAAAATGGGGTTAGGGACAACGGAAATGGGGTAAGGAGCACCAAAAATGGGGTCAGGGACCCCGAAAATGGAGTCAGGGACCTCGGAAATGAGGTTGGGGCAATGAAAATGGGGTCAGGGACCCCGAAAATGGCATCAGGGACACCGAAAATGGGGTCGGGGACCCTGAAAATGGGGTCAGGGACATCGGAAATGGGGTTGGGGACACCGAAATAGGGGTCAGGGACATCAAAAATGGGGCCAGGGACAAGGAAAATGGGGTCAGTGACCTTGGAAATGGGGTTAGGAACAATGAAAATGGGGTTGGGGACACCAAAATGGGGTCGGGGACATGGAGAATGGGGTCAGGGACCTCGGAAATGGGGTCGGGGACACCAAAATGGGGTCAGGGACAATGAAAATGGGGTTAGGGGCCTCGAAAATGGGGTTAGAAACACCGAAATTGGGGTTGGGGACACCAAAATGGGGTCGGGGACCTCGGAAATGGGGTCAGGGACAATGAAAATGGGGTTGGGGACACCAAAAATGGGGTTGGGGACACCAAAAATGGGGCTGGGGACACCAAAACGGGGCTGGGGACCCATCAAAACCAACATGAGATCACAACCACAAAAACCTCCATGAGACCCCAAAAACAGCATCAGAGCCCCCAAAACCACCACAAGATCCACCAAACCCACCATGAGACCCCCCAAAACCTCCATGAGACCCCCAAAACCAACATGAGACCCCCCAAACCAACATGAGACCCCCCAAACCATCAGACACCCACAAACCCCTCAAAGACCCCCCAAAACCAACATGAGACCCCCCAAAACCTCCATGAGACCCCCAAACCCCTCAAAGACCCCCCAAAACCCACAGGAGACCCCCAAAACCTCCATGAGACCCCAAAAACAGCATCAGAGCCCCCAAAACCACCATGAGACCCCCCAAAACCTCCATGAGACCCCTCAAAACCTCCATGAGACCCCCAAAAACAGCATCAGATGCCCCAAAACCTCCACAAGATCCACCAAACCCACCAAGAGACCCCCAAAACCTCCATGAGACCCCCCAAAATCTCCATGAGACCCGCCAAAACCAACATGAGACCCCCCAAACCATCAGACACCCACAAACCCCTCAAAGACCCCCCAAAACCAACATGAGACCCCCCAAAACCTCCATGAGACCCCCAAACCCCTCAAAGACCCCCCAAAACCAACATGACACCCCCCAAAACCAACATGAGACCCCCCCAAACTCCTCAAAGACCCCCCAAAACCCACAGGAGACCCCCAAAACCTCCATGAGACCCCCCAAAACCAACATGAGACCCCCAAAACCCTATAAAGACCCCTAAAACCCACAGGAGACCCCCCAAAACCCACAGGAGACCCCCAAAACCTCCATGAGACCCCCCAAAACCAACATGAGACCCCCAAAACCCTATAAAGACCCCCTAAAACCCACAGGAGACCCTTCAAAACCTCCATGAGACCCCCAAAAACAGCATCAGACACCCCAAAACCACCACAAGATCCACCAAACCCACCAAGAGACCCCCAAAACCAACATAAGACCCCCCAAAACCACCTTGAGCCCCCCCCCAAAACCCCTCAAAGACCCCCCAGAACCACCACGAGACCCCCAAAACCACCATGAGAACCCCAAAACGTCCATGAGACCCCCAAAAGCACCACAAGATCCACCAAACCCACCATGAGACCCCCCAAAACTTCCGTGAGACCCCCCAAAACCCCTCAAAGACCCCCCCAAAACCTCCATGAGACCCCCAAAACCTCCATGAGACCCTCAAAGCCCCCCCAAAGCCGCACCTCATCCTTGGCCTGCAGCAGGAACTCGCTCCCGTCGCCGGTCCTGCGGGACGGGGACGTTGTCACCGTGTCCCCCCGGACCTCGGGGCGTCACCGCCACCAAGGCCACCAGGAGACCCCAAAAATGGAGCCCGACACCCCAAAAGTGACATTGGAGACACCAAAAGTGACATCGGAGACACCAAAAATGGTGCCAGACACCCCAAAAGTGACATCGGAGACACCAAAAGTGACATCGGAGACACCAAAAATGGAGCCCGACACCCCAAAAGTGACATCGGAGACACCAAAAGTGACATCGGAGACACCAAAAATGGTGCCCGACACCCCAAAAGTGACATCGGAGACACCAAAAGTGACATCAGAAACCCCAAAAATGGAGCCCGACACCCCAAAAGTGACATTGGAGACACCAAAAGTGACATCGGAGACACCAAAAATGGTGCCCGACACCCCAAAAGTGACATCGGAGACCCCAAAAGTGACACCGGAGACCCCAAAATGACATCAGAATCACCCAAATCAACAGGTGACCCCAACATGACATCAGAGACCCCAAAGGTGCCATCGGAAACCCCAAAATGACATCAGGGCCACCAAGGCCACCAGGAGACCCCAAAAATGGAGCCAGACACCCCAAAAATGGTGCCAGAGACCCCAAAATAACATCAGAAACCCCAAAATGGCATCAGGGCCACCCAAATCAACGGGAGACCCCAAAAATGGTGTCAGACACCACAAAAGTGCCACCAGAAACCCCAAAAGTGACACCAGAAACCTCAAAATGACATCAGGGCCACCAAAAGTGACACCAGACACCCCAAATCAACAGGAGACCCCAAAAATGACATCAGAGACCCCAAAAGTGACACCAGAAACCTCAAAAGTGACATCAGGGCCACCCAAATCAACAGGTGACCCCAAAAATGACATCAGAGGTCTCAAATGACATCAGAAACCCCAAAAGTGACATCAGAGACCCCAAAAGGACATCAGGGCCACCCAAATCAACAGGAGACCCCAAAATGACATCAAAGGTCCCAAAAGTGCCATCAGAGACCCCAAAAGTGACACCAGAGACCCCAAAAGTGACACCAGAAACCCCAAAAGTGACATCAGAGACCCCAAAAAGGACATCAGAGAACCCAAAAAGGACATCGGAAACCCCAAAATGACATCAGGGCCACCCAAATCAACAGGAGACCCCAAAAGTGCCATCAGAGACCCCAAAAGTGACATCGGAAACCCCAAAATGACATCGGAGACCCCAAAAGTGCCATCAGAAACCCCAAAAGTGACACCAAGAACCCCAAAAGTGCCATCAGAAACCCCCAAATGACATCAGGGCCACCCAAATCAACAGGAGACCCCAAAATGAGATCAGAAACCCCAAAAGTGCCACCAGAAACCCCAGAATAGGCACCAAGAACCCCAAAAGTGACACCAGACACCCCAAAAATGGTGCCAGAGACCCCAAAATAACATCAGAGACCCCAAAATGACATGAGGGCCACCCAAATCAACGGGAGACCACAAAGTGACACCAGAGACCCCAAAAGTGCCACCAGGGACCCCAAAAGTGACATCAGGGCCTCCAAAATCAACAGGAGACCCCAAAAGTGACACCAAGAACCCCAAAAGTGCCATCAGAAACCCCAAAATGACATCAGGGCCACCAAGGTCAACAGGAGCCCCCAAAAATGGTGCCAGACACCCCAAAAGTGACATCAGAGACCCCAAAGTGACATCAGAGCCAACAAAGTCAACAGGAGACCCCAAAAGTGACATCAGAAACCCCAAAATGACATTGGAGACCCCAAAAGTGACATCGGAGACCCCAAAAGTGCCACCAGGAACCCCAAAATAAGATCAGAAACCCCAAAAGTGCCACCAGGAACCCCAAAATAAGATCAGAAACCCTAAAAGTGACATCAGAAACCCCAAAATGACATCGGAGACCCCAAAATGACATCAGGAACCCCAAAATGACATCGGAGACCCCAAAAGTGACATCAGAAACCCCAAAATGACATCGGAGACCCCAAAATGACATCAGAAACCCCAAAATGACATCGGAGACCCCAAAATGACATCAGGAACCCCAAAAGTGCCACCAGGAACCCCAAACCCGAGCAAGGCCAGGACCCACCTGAGCTTGAAGACGTTCTTCTTCTTCTTGTAGTCGTTGGCCACGTCGGCGGCGGCGCGGTGCAGGCTCAGCAGGGGCTCCCCCCCGTGCGTGGCCCCCGACGCCGGGCCCTTGGCGTCCTTGTAGAAGCCCAGGTCACCCTTGGCCAGCACGCAGTAGAGGTTCACCCAGGACCTGCTCGTGGTGGGACCCCAGATTGTGGTGGGTGCTCTCCACTGATGGACACCAAACCCTTGGAGAAACCCCAGCCCTTGGTGGAACCCCATCATTGATGGACACCAAACCCTTGGAGAAACCCCAGCCCTTGGTGAAACCCATCATTGATGGACACCAAACCCCTGGAGAAACCCCAGCCCTTGGTGGAACCCCATCATTGATGAACCCCAACCCTTGGTGAACCTCATCATGGATGGACACCAAACCCTTGGTGGAACCCATCATTGATGGACCCCCAACCCTTGGTGAACCTCTCCATTGATGGACGCCAAACCCTTGGAGAAACCCCAACCCTTGGTGGAACCCATCATTGATGGACACTGAACCTTTGGAGAAACCCCAGCCATTGGTGGAACCCATCACTGATGGACACCAAACCCCTGGAGAAACCCCAGCCCTTGGTGGAACCCATCATTGATGGACCCCCAACCCTTGGTGAACCTCTCCATTGATGGACACCAAACCCTTGGTGAACCTCTTCATTGATGGACACCAAACCTTTGGAGAAACCCCAGCCCTTGGTGGAACCCATCATTGATGGACACCAAACCCTTGGAGAAACCCCAACCCTTGGTGAACCTCTCCATTGATGGACCCCAAACCCTTGGAGAAACCCCAGCCCTTGGTGGAACCCATCATTGATGGACACCAAACCTCTGGAGAAACCCAACCCTTGGTGGAACCCCATCATTGATGGACACCAAACCTTTGGAGAAACTGAACCCTTGGTGGAACCCATCATTGATGGAACCCCAGCCCTTTGTGGACCCCATCATTGATGGGCACCAAACCCTTGGAGAAACCGCAATCCTTGGTGGACCCCATCATTGATGGGCACCAAACCCTTGGTGAACCTCTCCGTTGATGAACCCCAACATTTTCAGAACCCCAACTCTCGATGAACCCCTTCCATTGCCGCCCCCCACCCCATGGCCAACGCCCAACTCTCGATGAACCCCAACTCTTGATGACCCCCAACCCTTGGTGAACCTCCTCCACTGATGAACCCCAACCCTTGGAGAACCCTGAACTCTTGATGAACCCCTTCCATTGCCGCCCCCCACCCCTTGGAGAACCCCAACTCTCGGTGAACCCCAACCCTTGGAGCACCCCAACTCTCAATGAACCCCAACTCTCGGTGAACCCCTTCCATTGCTGCCCCCCACCCCTTGGAGAACCCCAACTCTCGGTGAACCCCTTCCATTGCCGCCCCCACCCCTTGGCCAACGCCCAACTCTCGATGAACCCCAACCCTTGGAGCACCCCAACTCTCGATGAACCCCAACTCTCGATGAACCCCTTCCATTGCTGCCCCCCACCCCTTGGAGAACCCCAACTCTCGGTGAACCCCAACCCTTGGAGCACCCCAACTCTCAATGAACCCCAACTCTCGGTGAACCCCTTCCATTGCCGCCCCCACCCCTTGGCCAACGCACAACTCTCGATGAACCCCAACTCTTGGTGAACCCCAGCTCTCGGTGAACCCCAACTCTCGGTGAGCCCCTTCCATTGCCGCCCCCCACCCCTTGGCCAACGCCCAACTCCCGGCGCCGAGCGGACCCCAGACCTGTTGGACGCCTTCTTGCCGGCGCCGTCGAGCTCGTGCTTGCGCAGCAGGAACCCCTCGTGCGCCACGGTGTGCGCGGGCGGCGGCGGCGGCGGCGGCGCGCTGCCCTGGGCCGGCGCCGAGCGCGAGCGCCGCGGCTCCGCCGGGCCCTGCCCCGAGTCCCGGGGGCGCGGGCGGCGCCGCGGCTTCGGCCGGTCCCGGGCGCGGGGACGATCCGGGCGCGGCGTCCGCTCCGGCAGGGACTCGGGGCCCGCGGGGAGACGGGCGGGGGAGTCGCGGTCACGGGGCTGGGGACAGCAGGGGACAATCAGGGGACAGTGAGGGACAGCGAGGGACAGTGAGGGACAGTGAGGGGACAGTAAGAGAGCTCCAGGGGACAGCAGGGGACAGTGAGGGGACACTCGGGGAGCTCCAGGGGGACATTGGCCGGTCCCGGGCCCGGGGACACTCCGGGAGGGACTCGGGGCTGGTGGGGAGACGGGCGGGGGAGTCACAGTCACGGGGCTGGGGACAATGGGGACAATCAGGGGACAGCAGGGGACGATCAGGGGACAGTGAGGGACAGTGAGGGGACAGTGAGGGACAGCGAGGGACAGTGAGGGGACAGTGAGGGACAGTGAGGGGACAGCAGGGACAGTGAGGGGACAGTGAGGGGACAGTGAGGGGACAGCGAGGGGACAGCAGGGACAGTGAGGGGACATTCAGGGAGCTCCAGGGGACAGTGAGGGGACATGCGGGGATCTCCAGGGGACAGCAGGGGACAGTGAGCTGGACATGGAGGGGACACTGAGGGGACAATGGGGGGACACTCAGGGAGCTCCAGGGGTGCGCTGAGGGGACAATGGGGCATCTCCAGGGGGACATGGAGGGAACACCAAGGGGAATCCAAAGGGACACAAAGAGGAATCCTTGGGGCCACCAAAGGGACACCGAGGGGCCACCAAAGAGTCACCAAGGTGACCCCAAGGACTCACCGAAGCCGGCACGGGGCCACCCGCCTCCTTCTCCTGCAGCTGCTCCACGATGTCGGCCAGGGTGGCTTTGCTGCTGGAGGACATTTGGAGAGCGGGGTGGCGTCACCTCAGCCCCGTCCCCTCCCCGCCGTGTCCCCGCCGTGTCCCCGCGGCGTCCCCGCGCTCACCCGCCGCCCTTGCCGTCGTGCCGCGGCGGCTCCGGCTCGCTGGACTCCTGCCGCTCCAGCCGGCGCTCCCGGCGCTCCCGGCGCCGCTCCGGCCGCGCCTCGCCCGGCTCCTCCGCCTTGGCGGCCGCCGGCGGCTCCGCGGTGACGGCGGTGACGGCGGCCGGGGGCGGCTCGGTGGCCGCTGCGTCGGCGGCCGGCGGCTGGACGCGGTCCAGCTTGGGCTGGAGGCGCTCCGGCCGCAGCTCGTGCCGGACGTAGGCGACGCGCGGCTCCGGCCGCCGGGGCTCCGCCGCGCCCGGGGGCTCCCCCAGGAACTTGCGGGTGAGGAGCGGCGTGGGCGGCTGCTGGTTCTGCTCGGCCTTGAGCTTCTCGATCTGCGCCACGCGGTGGCGTGGGGATGGAGATGGAGATGGGGATGGAGATGGGGATGGAGATGGGATGGAGATGAGATGGAGATGGAGATGGAGATGGGGATGGAGATGGGATGGAGATGGAGATGGAGATGGAGATGGAGATGGGGATGAGATGGAGATGGAGATGGAGATTATGGGGATGGAGATGAGATGGAGATGGAGATGGAGATGGAGATGGGGATGAGATGGAGATGGAGATGGGGATGGAGATAGGATGGAGATGGGGATGGAGATGGAGATGGGGATGGAGATAGGATGGAGATGGGGATGGAGATGGAGATGGGGATGGAGATAGGATGGAGATAGGATGGAGATGGGGATGGAGATGAGATGGAGATGAGATGGAGATGTAGATAGGATGGAGATGAGGATGGAGATGGAGATGGGGATGGAGATGGAGATGGGGATGAGATGCAGATGGAGATGAGATGGAGATGAGGATGGGGATGAGAAGGAAATTATGGAGATGATGGAGATGGGGATGGGGATGAGATGGAGATGGCAATTGAGATGACAGTTGGGATGGAGATGGAGATGGAGATTATGGAGATGGGATGGAGATGGAAATGATGGAAATGGAGATGAGAATGGAGATGATGGAGATGAGGATGAGATGGAGATGATGGAGATGAGATGGAGATAGGGATGGAGATGAGATGGAGATGGAGTGGAGATGGCGATGGGGATTATGGACGGAAATGATGGAAATGGAGATGAGATGGAATTGGGGTGATGGAGATGGAGATAATGAAGATGGAGATGGGGATGAGTTGGAGATGGAGATGATGGAGATTATGAAGATGGAGATGACATGGAAATGAGGATGGGGATGAGATGGAGATGGCAATTGAGATGACAGATGGGATGGGGATGAGATGGAGATTATGGAGATGGGATGGAGATGGAAATGGTGGAAATGGCGATGAGATGGAGAAAGAGATGATGAGATGGAGATGATAGAGATGGAGATAGAGATAGAGATGGAGACGTGATAGAGATGGGATGCAGATGGAGATGATGGAGATGGAGATAGAAATGATGTCAATGGACATGATGGAGGCGAGATGGGGACAGGGATGGAGTTGGGGATGGGACAGGGATGAAGACGGAGATGGAGATGGAGATGAAGAGGACGAAGCCAGGCCACGGAAACCCCCACAGGGACGGGCACGGGATGAAGACCGAGGTCAGACAAGGAGCTGGTTCTGCAGAGCCCCCAGTGTCCCACCCCGGGACGTCCCCGCGGCGGCCGTACCGTGGTGAGGCGCCGCAGCGAGCTGAACCTCTCCTCCCAGGCGGCCGCCGCCTTGCGGAAGGCCTCGTGCCGCCGGATCAGCTGCTCCACCTCGTCCACGCTGCTGCCCAGCTCCTGGCTCTTGAGCAGCGGCTCCTGCGCCGTCAGCCACGCGTCGGCCACCACGGCCTCCTGCGCGAACTGGTGCACCTCGCGCACTGCCGGCACAGCCGGGGCCGCCGTCACCGCCGCGGGGTCACCCCAGGGCTGGGCTCACCCATCGTCCGGTGGCCCTCATCATCTGGTGTCACCCATAGTCTGGTGTTCCCCGTAATTTCGTGTTCCCCGTAATTTGGTGTTCCCCATAATTTGGTGTTCCCCGTAATTACGTGTTCCTCATAGTTTGGTGTTCCCCATAATTTGGTGATCCCCGTAATTTTGTGTTCCTCATAATTTGGTGTTCTCCGTAATTTGATGTTCCTCATAAGTTGGTGATCCCCATAATTTAGTTTGGTGTTCCTTGTAATTTGGTCTTCCCCATAGTTTGGTGTTCCCCATAATTTGGTGTTCCCCGTAATTTCGTGTTCTTCATAATTTGGTGTTCCCCATAATTTCGTGTTCCTCATAATTTGGGATCCCCGTAATTTGATGTTCCTCATAATTTGGTGTTCGCCGTAATTTGATGTTCTTCATAATTTGGTGTTCCCCATAGTCTGGTGTTCCCCATAATTTAATTTGGTATTCCTCGTAGTTTGGTGTTCCCCATAATTTGGTGATCCCCATAATTTAATTTGGTGTTCCCCATAATTTGGTGTTCCTCATAATTTGGTGTTCTTCATAATTTGGTGCTCCCCACAATTTGGTGTTCCCCGTAATTTCATGTTCCTCATAATTTGGTGATCCCCATAATTTAATTTGGTGCTCCCCATAATTTGATATTCTTCATAATTTGGTGTTCCCTGTAATTTCGTTTTCTTCATAATTTCGTGTTCCTCATAATTTAATGTTCCTCATAATAATAATTTGATGTTCCTCATAATTTGGTGTTCCCCATAATTTCATGTTCCTCATAATTTGGTGATCCCCATAATTTGATGTTCCTCATAATTTGGCGTTCCCCATAATTTCATGTCCCCCATAACCTGCTGACTCCCACAAATTGACTCCCATGACCCAATGTCCACCCCGAGACCTGGTGTCCCCCCAACCCCCAATGACCACCCAAAACTTGGTGACCCCCATAACCTGGTGTCCTCCACAACCCAATGCCCACCCCAAGACCCGGTGTCCCCCCAACACTCGACACCCCCCAGAAACCTTCTGCCGTCCCCTCGGTGTCCACTCACTCTGCTGCAGCCACTCCCAGTGCTTGTCCCACTTCTCCGCCATCTCCTTCTTCTTGGCCAGCAGCTTCTCCATGTGGGATTTGATCTGCGGGGAGGGGGGACGTGGCTCGGGACACCCCGCAGGTCCCACCAGGGCCCCCTCCCCACATTGTCCGTCCCCCCGGGCACCTCGTCGGCCGCGGGGCTCTTGCTGAGGATGAGGGTCTTGCCCAGCTCCAGGCAGGTGGCCACGTTCTTGGCGCGCGCCTCCATCTCCGTCTTGAGGCTTTGGTGGTCGTTCATCAGCAGCTCCACCGAGGACACGTCCCTGGGGCGGGGATGGACAAGGGTGGGGGTCCTTGGTGGCTGGGAGGGGACATTGGCATGGCGAAGGGTGGGGGGTCCTCCTGATGGACCAGGACATGGTCCTTGGAGCCATGGTGGACCAGGACATGGTCCTTGGAGCCATGGTGGGACAGGACATGGTCCTTGGGCCCATGGTGGGACAGGACATGGTCCTTGGGCCCATGGTGGGCCAGGACATGGACCCTCAGATGGACCAAGACACGGGACCTTGGGATGGACCAGCACATGGTCCCTGGAGCCATGGTGGGCCAGGACATGGACCCTCAGATGGACCAAGACACGGGACCTTGGGATGGACCAGCACATGGTCCCTGGAGCCATGGTGGGACAGGACATGGGCCCTCAGATGGACCAGGGCACAGGACCTTGGGATGGACCAGGATGTGATCCTCAGGTCCATGGTGGAACAGGACCCAGACCCTCAGATGGACCAGGACATGTTCCTGGGATCATCAAAGAAGACATGGACCCTCAGATGGAGCAGGACATGGGATGGTGGCACCATGAGAGACCAGGACATGGTCCTTGGGTCTGTGATGGAACATGGACCCTCGGATGGACCAGGACATGATCCTTGGGTTCTTGATGGAACAGGACATGGTCCTTGGGTCCTTGGTGGAACAGGACACGGTCCTTGGGTCATGGAACAGAACATGGACCCTCAGATGGAGCAGGACATGGTCCTTGGGTCCTTGGTGGAACAGGACATGGTGCTTGGGTTCTTGGTGGGACAGGACATGGACCCTCAGACGGACCAGGACATGTTCCTGGGATCATGGAAGAAGACATGGACCCTCAGATGGAGCAGGACATGGGATGGTGACACCATAAGAGACCAGGACATGTCTTGGGGTCTGTGATGGAACATGGACTCTCAGATGGACCAGGACACAGGACCTTGGCTCTGTGATGGAACATGGACCCTCAGATGGATCAGGACATGGTCCTCGGGTCCTTGGTGGGCTAAGACTTGATCCTTGGGTCATGGAACAGGCCATGGACCCTCAGATGGACCAAGACCCAGAACCTCCCGAAGCACCACCCTTGCCCACCCCTACCTGGGCTTCTCGCCGGCGCCCATCTGGTGGAGCGCGCCGTCCATCCACGCCAGCAGGTCCCTGGCGGTGCCCACGAAGCGGATCTTGTCGGCCACGCCGGCCACGTGCAGCCGGCACTCCTCGCACGCCGCCAGCAGCTCCTTCCAGGCGCGCAGCACCTCCTGCTCGCGGCCCGCGATGGCCTCGGCGTTGTCGCCGGCGTAGAGCGTGCGCAGCTGCGCCGCGCCCTCCTGCAGCCGCCGCACCTGCGTCACCAGCACCTCCACGTCGTGCTCGAAGGCGCCCAGCGCCCGCTGCAGGGCGCCGGCCGAGCCCCGGCCCTCGCGCGCCGCCAGCTCCGGCAGCCGCCGCCGCTTCTCCTCGATCTGCCCCAGCAGCTCCTTGCAGTCGTTGAAGAACTTGTGCAGCTCGTGCGATGCCGCCAGCATCTGCGCCCGCGTCTCCATCAGCTCCAGCAGGTCGGCCCAGGCCTCGTTGACGCCGTCCTTCCACTCGGCGATGGTGGCGGCGTCCGCGTGGCCGTAGTCGATGAGCTCGTCCACCATCTGGTTGACGGCGGCGATGCGCTCCTGGCCCACGCTGCCCGTCTCGCTGGCGAACTCCAGGAACTTCTCCTGCAGCAGCTGAGGCGGCCCCGGGGTGGACGCGGGGCACGGGGTCAGGGGTGGGCAGGGCGCGGGACCACCAGGGTGGGGTGGGGTGGGGTGGGGTGGGGTGGGGGTAGGACCTCCAGACAGGGGACAGAGGGGATGGACAGGACCAGGATGGTGCCAGGACCACCAGGAAGGTGTCAGGATCTCCAGCCAGGGGAGAGAAGGGATGGCCAGGACAAGGATGGTGCCAGGACCACCGGGATGGTGTCAGGACCACCAGAATGGAGCAGGGACCACCACCAGGGGACAGAGGAGATGGTCAGGACCTCTAGGATGGTGCCAGGACCACCAAGATGGGGCAGGGATGGTGGCAGGACCCCCAGCCAGGAGACGGAGGGGGTGGCCAGGACCAGGATGGTGCCGGGACCACCAGAAAGGTGCCAGGACCACCAGGGTACAGAGGAGATGGTCAGGACCTCTAGGATGGTGCCAGGACCACCAAGAAGGTGCCAGGACATGCACCCAGAGCACAGAGGGGGTGGCCAGGACCAGGATGGTGCCAGGACCACCAGGAATCTCCCAGGACCACCAGGAAGGTGCCAGGACCACCAGGGGACAGAGGAGATGGTCAGGACCTCTAGGATGGTGCCAAGACCACCAGGAAGGTGACAGGACCCCTGCCAGAGCTCAGCAAAGGCCCCCAGACCCCTCACGACAGCACCACGAGCCACCACCAACTCCTCCCCCACCAACTTCTCCACCCCACCTCACCCACGGCACCAAAGCCACCCCACCCCAGCCGTGACCGCGTCCACCAGCCCCGTCCCGCCCTCACCGTGACGTGCTCGAAGTCCTGCCCCAGCTCGGGCGAGCCGGCCACCACCTCCTTCTCGGCGATCCAGTGCTCCAGCTCGTCCACCTCGCGGTTGAGCTGGTAGAGCCAGTACTGCTGCTCCAGCTTGACCTTGCGCTCCTCCACCAGGTCCTTCAGAGACACGTACAGCCGGTCAACCTGCGACTGCCGCCTGCTGACCTGTTCGCTGCGCAAGGACACCACGGCGCCGTCAGCCCCGGCAGGTGCCCGGGGGGTGCCCGGGGTACCCAGGGGGTGGGCGGGGCATGGGCGGGGCGTGGGCGGGGCGTGGGCGGACCTCTGGGGGTGGCCGAGCTCGAGGAGGGCGCGGCACTGCCGGGAGAGCTGGGCGATGGTCTCCTCGTAGTTCTCGATGGTTTGCTCGGTGAGGAGATGCTTCTTGAGGAGCTGCAGGGTGCTCTGCTCGTCCTGCGCGCCGGGCGGGGCGGTGGGGTGAGGTTGGCAGCAGCGATGGATGGGAGCCAACCCAACCAACCAGAGCCAACCCCAACCAAGAAAGGCACTCAACCCAACCCACCCAACCCAACCCAACCCAACCACCCAACCCAACCCAACCACCCATCCCAACCCAACCCAACCCACCCAACCCAACCCAACCCAACCACCCAACCCAACAAAAGTCAGTGAAACCCAACTCAATCAATCAACCCAACCAACCAACCCAACCAATCCAACCCAACCAACTCAACCAGTGCAACCAACCCAACCACCCAACCCAAAAAAAGCCAATGAAACCCAATTCAATCAATCAAACCAACCAACCCAACCCAACCAGTACAACCAACCCAACCACCCAACCCAACCCAACAGAGTCAGTGAAACCCAACTCAACCAACCCCACCCAACCAGGGCAACCAACACAACCGCCCAACCCAACCCAACAAAAGCCAGTGAAACCCAACTCAATCAATCAACCCAACCAACCAACCCAACCCAACCAACCAATCCAACCAACCCAACCCAACCAACTCAACCAGTACAACCAACCCAACCACTCAACCCAACGAACCCAGCTAAACCCAACTCAACCAATCCAACCAACCAACCCAACAAACCCAGCTAAACCCAACTCAACTAACCAACCCAACTCAACCAGTGCAGTCAACCCAACCACCCAACCCAACAGAGCCAGCGAAACCCAACTCAACCAACCAACCCAACTCAATCAATCAACCCAACCAACCAACCCAACTCAACTCAGCCAGTGCAGTCAACCCAACCACCCAAGCCAAGAGAGCCAACCCAAACCAAGAAAGGCACTCAACCCAACCCAACCAACCCACCCAACCCAACCCAACCACCCAATTAAACCAATCCAACCCAACCCAACCCAACCTCACCCAACCTAACCACCCAATCCAACCAACCCAACCCAACCACCCAATTCACTCAATTAAACCAACCCAACCCAACCCATCAAACTCACCCAATCAAACCAACCCAAACCAACCCAACCGCCCAATTCACCCAATCAAACACACCCAATGACCAAACACAACCCAATCAACCCAACCAACCCAACCAATGCAACCCATCCAATTCACCAATTAGCCCAATGAAACCAACCCAACCTAACCACCCGATTCACTCAATCCAAACAGCCCAACCCAACACAACCAACCCAACCTCACCCAACCAAACCACCCAACTCACCCCATTAAACCAACCCAACCCATCAAACTCACCCAATCAACCCAACCCAACCCAATCCAACCCAACCCACCCAACCCAACCCAACCCAACCCAACCACCCAATTAAACCAACCCAACCCATCAAACTCACCCAATCAAAACAACCCAACCCAACCCAACCAATGCAACCCATCCAATTCACCATTTCACCCAATCAAACCAACCCAACCCAACCAACCCAACTACCCAATTCACTCCATTAAACCAACCCAACCCATCAAACTCACCCAATCAAACCAAACCAACCCAACCCAACCCATCCAGTTTACCCAACCCATCCCATTCACCCAACCCAACCACCCAATTAAACCAATCCAACCCAACCCAACTCAACCTCACCCAACCTAACCACCCGATCCAACCAACCCAACCCAACCACCCAATTCACCCAATTAAACCAACCCAACCCAACCCAACCCATCCAGTTTACCCAACCCATCCCATTCACCCAACCCAACCCCCCACGCTGGCCCAACCGCCGACGCCGCCCGTCCCCAGCCCCACCTTCCCCTTCTCCTCGTTCATCAGCAGCAGCTCCTGCTCGCCCAGCCACGCCTCCACCTCGGCCACGTCGAAGTAGAACTGCTCCAGCTGGAAGGTGGCGTCCAGCGCCTGCTGCCGCCGCTCCGTCTGCTCCTGCAGCTCGGCCCAGAGCGCGCCCAGCCGCTCCAGCAGCCCCCGCACGCCCTCGGCCTCGGGGCTCTTGATGGACGCCACGGCGGCCGCGCGCTCCAGCACCTCGTCCACGCGCGGCCGGTGCACCTGGATCTCCCGGCGCAGGTTCTGAGGGTGGGGTGGGGTGGGATGGGATGGAGGGCTCAGAGTGGGGTGGGACCCTCCAGCTCCAGGAGCACCAGGATGGTGGATGGTCCCACCTTGGCCGCCAAACTCCACCCAAGATGGTGAGGAGCAGCTCCAACATCTCCCCATGATCAATTTTGGGGTCCCACCTTGACCCCCAAACCCCTCCCCAGAAGGTGAGGAGCTGCCCCAACGTCTTCCCATGATCAATTTTGGAGTCCCACCTTGACCCCCAAACCCCTCCCCAGAAGGTGAGGAGCTGCCTCAACATCTCCCTGGCCCCAGGACCACCAGGATGGTGCAAGGTCCCACCTTGGCCCCCAAACTCCAGCAAAAATGTGAGGAGCTGCCCCAACATCTCCCCATGATCAGTTTTAGGGTCCCACCTTGCTCCCCACCACCCCAACCCTTCATCATTAGTTTTGGGATCCCACCTTGACCCCCAAACCCCTCCCCAGAAGGTGAGGAGCAGCTCCAACATCTCCCCATGATCAATTTTGGGGTCCCACCTTGATCCCCAAACCCCTCCCCAGAAGGTGAGGAGCTGCCCCAACATGTCTCCATGATCAATTATGGGGTCCCACCTTGCTCCCCACCACCCCAAACCCTCGTGGTGAATTCTGGGGTCCCACCTTGACCCCCAAACCCCTCCCCAGAAGGTGAGGAGCTGCCTCAACATCTCACTGGTCCCAGGACCACCAGGATGGTGCAAGGTCCCACCTTGGCCCCCAAACTCCACCCAAAAATGTGAGGAGCTGCCCCAACATCTCCCCATGATCAGTTTTAGGGTCCCACCTTGCTCCCCACCACCCCAACCCTTCATCATTAATTCTGGGATCCCACCTTGCCCCCAAACCCCTCCCCAGAAGGTGAGGAGCAGCTCCAACATCTCCCCATGATCAATTTTGGGGTCCCACCTTGCCCCCAAACCCCTCCCCAGAAGGTGAGGAGCAGCTCCAACATCTCCCCATGATCAATTTTGGGGTCCCACCTTGCTCCCCACCACCCCAACCCTCCATGGTCAATTTTGGGGTCCCACCTTGGCCCCCAAACCTCTCCCCAGAGGGTGAGGAGCTGCCCCAGCATCTCCCCAACATCTCGTGGTGGATTTTGGGGTCCCACCATGACCCCAGACGCCGCGTGGGCGCTGACCTGGTTCTTCTTGATGAACTGCTGGACGGTCTGCAGGTTGGTGCCGTGGTCCTTGAGCATGGCCAAGGGCAGGCGGTCCTGGACCCACATCTGGGACAGGGGTGGAGCTCGGTGTCATCGCTGTCCCCCATCCCACCCCACCCCATCCCCATTTCTGTGTTCACCTCCGTCACATCCCCATATTCATCACATCTCCATCCCATCTCCATCTCCATCATCTCCATCTCCATCCCATCTCCACCCCCATCCATCTTCATCTTCATCCCATCGCCATCTCTATCTCATCTTCATCTTCATCCCATCTCCATCCAATCTCCTCCATCTTCACCCCATCTCCATCTCCATCATCTCCATCCCATCGCCATCTCTATCTCATCTTCATCTCCATCCCCATCCATCTTCATCTTCATTCCATCTCCATCCCATCTCTATCCCATCTCCATCCCCATGCCATCTCCATCTCCACCCCATTCATCTCAAACTCCATCCAATCTCCTTCTCCATCTTCACCCCCTTCTCCACCATCTCCATCTCCATCCCCATCCATCTTCATCTCATCTCCATCTCCATCCCATTTCCATCTCCATCTCCATCTCCATCCCATTCACCTAAAACTCCATCCCATCTCCATTCCATCTTCATCTCATTGCCATTCCATATCTCCATCCCATCTCCATCCCCATCCATCTTCATCTTCATCCCATCTCCATCTCCCCCCATTCATCTCAAACTCCATCCCATCTCCATCCAATCTCCTCCATCTTCACCCCATCTTCATCTCCATCATCTCCATCCAAATCCATCTTTGTCTCCATCCCATCTCCACTCTCTTCATATCAAACACCATTCCATCTCCGTCCCATCTCCTTCTCCATCTTCACCCCATCTCATCTCCATCTCCACCCCATCACCATCATCTCCATCTTCATGCCATCTCCACCTCATTAATCTTAAACTCCATCCCATCTCCTTCTCTATCTTCACCCCATCTCCATCTCCATCATCTCTATCCCCATCCATCTTCACCTTCACCTTCACCTTCACCTCCATCTCCATCTCCATCCCATTCACCTAAAACTATCCCATCTCCTTCTCCATCTCCATCCCATCTCCATCATCTCCATCTCCATCCTATCTCCATCTCATCTCCATCCCATCTCCACCCCATTCACCTAAAACTCAATCCCATCTCCATCTCATCTCCGTCTCCATCCCATCTCCACCCCATTCACCTAAAACTTCATTCCACCTCCATCATCTCCATCCCACCTCCATCTCCACCCCATTCACCTCCACCCCCATCCCACCCCAATCCCACCTCCACATCCACCCCCATCATCTCCATCTCCATCCTATCTCCATCTCACCTCCATCCCATCTCCACCCCCATCCCATCTCCACCTCCACCTCCATCTCCACCCCATCCCACCTCCATCTCCACCCCATCCTACCTCCACCCCCATCCCATCTCCACCTCCATCTCCACCCCATCCCACCTCCATCTCCACCCCATTCACCTCCACCTCCATCCCACCTCCACCCCCATCCCACCCCAATCCCACCTCCACCTCCACCCCCATCATCTCCATCTCCATCCTATCTCCATCTCATCTCCATCTCCATCCCATCTCCACCCCATTCACCTAAAACTGCATTCCATCTCCATCATCGCCATCCCATCTCCATCTCCACCCCATCCCACCTCCACCCCCATCCCATCTCCACCTCCACCTCCATCTCCACCCCATCCCATCTCCATCTCCACCCCATCCCACCTCCATCTCCACCCCATTCAACCTCCACCCCCATCTCCACCCCCACCTCCATCCCACCCCAATCCCACCTCCACCTCCACCCCCATCATCTCCATCTCCATCCTATCTTCATCTCATCTCCATCTCCATCCCATCTCCACCCCATTCACCTAAAACTTCATTCCATCTCCATCATCGCCATCCCATCTCCATCTCCACCCCATCCCACCTCCACCCCCATCCCATCTCCACCTCCACCTCCATCTCCACCCCATCCCATCTCCATCTCCACCCCATCCTACCTCCACCCCCATCCCATCTCCACCTCCACCTCCATCTCCACCCCATCCCACCTCCATCTCCACCCCATCCCACCTCCATCTCCACCCCATTCACCTCCACCTCCATCCCACCTCCACCCCCATCCCACCCCAATCCCACCTCCACCTCCACCCCCATCATCTCCATCTCCATCCTATCTCCATCTCATCTCCATCTCCATCCCATCTCCACCCCATCCACCTAAAACTTCATTCCACCTCCATCATCGCCATCCCATCTCCATCTCCACCCCATCCACCTCCACCCCCATCCCATCTCAACCTCCACCCCCATCTCCACCCCCACCTCCATCCCACCCCAATCCCACCTGCACCTCCACCCGCGCCCCACCCCACGCCATACTCACCACCTCGTCCTCCAGCTCGTGGCTGACCTGGTGGACCTCCTTGGAGGCCAGCAGGATCCTGCGGCGCTCCTTGAGGGGCTCGATGAGGCGCACGATGCGCGTCCCCACCGCGCTCTGCCGCTCGCCCACGGCCTCGCGCCCGGCCGCCGCCGCCGGCAGCGCCGCCGCCTGCGCCTGCAGCTCGCCCACCTCCTGCGACCACTGCTCCACCTGCGACTCCATGGTCTGCGCGACACGGGGACAACGCGCGTGCAGGCCACCGGGGCCGGGATGGGACCGACGGCGCCCAGAGCTCCTCCCGAAAAACGTCCCGGCCCCAAAGTGTGGTGGCCTCGTAATTTGGTGCGCACCGTAACGTGGTGGCACCTCCTAGAACTTGGTGTCCACCATAAGCTGGTGGCACCTCCCATAATGTGGTGTCCACCCCAATCTGGTGTCCACCATAACTTGGTGTCATCCCCCAAAATGTGGTGTCCCTCATAATGTGGTGTCCACCATAACCTGGTGTCACCCACCATAACCTGATGTCACCCCCCATAATTTGGTGCCCACCATAACCTGGTGTCACCCCCCATAATGTGGTGTCACCCCCATAATTTGGTGCCCACCATAACCTGGTGTCACCTCCCTAATTTGGTGTCCACCATAATCTAGTGTCACCCCTCCATAATGTGGTGTCCACTATAACTGGGTGTCCATCATAATCTGGCGTCACCCCCAAAAATATGGTGTCCGTCATAATGTGGTGCCCACCATAACCTGGTGTCCCTCCATAACCTCATGTCCCCACCATGATGTGGTGTCCCTCCATAGCCTGGTGTCCCAACACCACCCAAAATCCACCCAAGGCCCGGTGTCCCCTCAAGGTCTGGTATCCCCCCATGTCCTGCTGTCCCCATCCCTGCTGTCCATCTGTCCCCACATCCATCTGTCCCCATGTCCTGCTGTCCCCATCCCTGCTGTCCATCTGTCCCCACATCCATCTGTCCCCATGTCCAGCTGTCCCCATCCCTGCTGTCCCCATCCCTGCTGTCCATCTGTCCCGTGCCCACCTGCAGCCGGTGGAGCTGCCGGCTGACGCTGCGCAGGTCGGAGCTGCCTGTGTCCATTTGTCCCCATGTCCGTCTGTCCCCGTCCCTGCTGTCCATCTGTCCCCACGTCCATCTGTCCCCACGTCCATCTATCCTGTGCCCACCTGCAGCCGGTGGAGCTGCCGGCTGACACTGCGCAGGTCGGAGCTGCCCATGTCCATCTGTCCCCATCCATGCTGTCCATCTGTCCCCATCCCTGCTGTTCATCTGTCCCCATGTCCATCTGTCCTGTGCTCACCTGCAGCCGGTGGAGCTGCCGGCTGACGCTGCGCAGGTCGGAGGTGCCCATGTCCTTCTGTCCCCATGTCCATCTGTCCCCACGTCCATCTGTCCCCATCCCTGCTGTCCGTCTGTCCTGTGCTCACCTGCAGCCGGTGGAGCTGCCGGCTGACGCTGCGCAGGTCGGAGGTGCCCATGTCCTTCTGTCCCCATGTCCATCTGTCCCCACGTCCATCTGTCCCCATCCCTGCTGTCCATCTGTCCCCATCCCTGCTGTCCCTCTGTCCCCATGTCCATCTGTCCCCACGTCCATCTGTCCCCATCCCTGCTGTCCCCATCCCTGCTGTCCCTCTGTCCCCATCCCTGCTGTCCATCTGTCCCCACGTCCTGCTGTCCCCATGTCCCTCTGTCCTGTGCTCACCTGCAGCCGGTGGAGCTGCCGGCTGACGCTGCGCAGGTCGGAGCTGCCCATGTCCCTCTGTCCCCACGTCCATCTGTCCCCACGTCCATCTGTCCCCATCCCTGCTGTCCATCTGTCCCCACGTCCATCTGTCCCCACGTCCATCTGTCCCCATCCCTGCTGTCCCCATCCCTGCTGTCCATCTGTCCTGTGCTCACCTGCAGCCGGTGGAGCTGCCGGCTGACGCTGCGCAGGTCGGAGCTGCCCATGTCCATCTGTCCCCACCCCTGCTGTCCATCTGTCCCCATCCCTGCTGTCCCCATCCCTGCTGTCCCTCTGTCCCCACGTCCATCTGTCCCCATCCCTGCTGTCCATCTGTCCCCACGTCCATCTGTCCCCATGTCCATGCTGTCCCCATCCCCACTGTCCCCATCCCTGCTGTCCCCATGTCCATCTGTCCTGTGCTCACCTGCAGCCGGTGGAGCTGCCGGCTTGATGCTGTGCAGGTCGGAGGTGCCCATGTCCATCTGTCCCCATCCATGCTGTCCATCTGTCCCCATCCCTGCTGTCCATCTGTCCCCACGTCCATCTGTCCCCATCCCTGCTGTCCATCTGTCCCCACGTCCTGCTGTCCCCATGTCCGTCTGTCCTGTGCCCACCTGCAGCCGGTGGAGCTGCCGGCTGACGCTGCGCAGGTCGGAGCCGCTGCCCCCGACGCTCTCGAGCTGCTCCTCGAGCCGGCCCAGCCGCGCCTCCACGTCGGCGAAGCTCCGCGCCAGGCGCTCGGCGGCCGCGGCCTCGGCCAAGCGCCGGCTCCGCGCCTGGCTGGAGCTCTCCAGCTCCTGCCAGCAGCGCCGCAGCTCCTCCAGCTGCCGCCGCACGGCCCCGCTCAGCTCCGGCTTGGCCTGCACCAGCTCCTCGCCCTCCTGCGGGGGGGCATGGGCTCAGGGGGGACCCCAAAAGTGATCTCGAGGGGCTGGGGAGATGTTGGGGGAGATCCTCATGTTCTACGGAGGGGTTTGGGGTGAGGGGGGACCCCAAAAGTGATCTCGAGGGGCTGGGGAGATGCTGGGGGAGATCCTCATGTTCTAGGATGGGTTTGGGGTGAGGGGGGACCCCAAAAGTGATCTCGAGGGGCTGGGGAGATGCTGGGGGAGCTCCTCGCCCTCCTGGAGGTGGGGATGGGGTGAGGTGGGACACCAAAATTCATCACAAATGGTTGGGGAGACGCTGGGGGAGCTCCTCATGTTCTACGGAGGGGTTTGGGGGCCAAGGTGGGACCCCAAAATTCATCACAAATGGTTGGGGAGATGCTGGGGCAGATCCTCACATTCTGGGTTGGGGTTTGGGGTCAAGGTGGGACCCCAAAATTCACTACGAGGAGTTGGGGAGATGTTGGGGCAGATCCTCATCTTCTCATGGGGGGTTACGGGGTCAAGGTGGGGTTTCGGAATCAAGGTGGGACCCCAAAATTGATCTCAAAGGGCTGGGGACATGTTGGGGCAGATCCTCATGGTCTAGGGTGGGGTTTGGGGTGAGGTGGGACCCCAAAATTGATCTCGAGGGGTTGAGGTGGTGGGGAGCAAGGTGGGACCCCAAAACTGATCGTGGGAGACGTTGGGGTAGATCCTCACATTCTGGGGTGGTTTGGGCCGAGGTGGGACCCCAAAATTCATCACGGGGGGTTGGGGGGGTGGGGGGGACACTGAGGGGACACCGGGGACGTTTTGGGGCGGCCACCACAGGGGAATGGGAGGGGGACAGCACAGGGGGGGGACAGTGAGGGGAAGGGGACACAAAGGGGACAGTTTGGGGGTGACACAGGGGGAGGTGACACGTGGGGGGTGACACGGGGGGGTGGGGACACACGGGGGGTGGCACAGGGGAGGTGACACGGGGCAGATGACACGAGGAGGGGACACCACAGGGAGGTGACACGAGGAGGGGGTGACACGGGACATGCGTGGGTGACATCACGGGGGAGGGGTGACACGAGGGGGAGGTGACACGGGTTGGGGACACACGGGGGGGGGGACGTGACAAGGGGGAGGTGACACAGAGCAGGTGACACGAGGAGGGGACACCGGGGGGGGGGAGGGACACACAGGGGATGGCACAGGGGAGGTGACACGGGGCAGGTGACACGAGGAGGGGACACCACGGGTTGGGGGGGACACAGGGTGGTGACACACGGGGGACACCGCAGGGAGGTGACACGGGTGGGGGGGACACAGTGGAGTGACAGGGGTGGGTGACACTGCGGGGAGGGGACACACGGGGGGGGGGGGGACGTGACATGGGGGAGGTGACACGAGGAGGGGACACAGGGTGGGTGACACGAGTGGGGGTGACGCAAGGCGGGGGGACACGGTGGGGCGTGACATGGGGGAGGTGACACAGCGGGGGTGACAGGAGGAGGGGACACCGGGGGGGGGGGGGGGGGTGACACGAGTGGGGGTGACACAAGGGGGAGATGACACGGGGAGGACCCACAGAGGGGACACACGGGGTGGGAGAGGTGACACAGGTTGGGGACACTTGGGGACACACAGGAGGGAGACACACGGGTGGAGGTGACACAAGGGGGACACCACGGTGGGGGGGGGGGGGGGTGACACAAGGGGGAGGTGACATGGGGAGGACCCAAAGAGGGGACACCACGAGGGGGTGACACAGGCTGGGGACACTCGGGGGACACACGGGGGAAGTGACACGAGTGGGGATGACAGGAGGGGGAGGTGACACGGGGAGGGGACACGGTGGGGGGTGACAGGAGGAGAGGACACAGGGTGAGTGGGACACGGGGGAGGTGACACAGGCTGGGGACACTCGGGGGACACATGGGGGAGTGACACGAGGAGGGGACATGGAGGGGTGACACGGGTTGGGGACACTCGGGGGACACACGAGTGTGGGTGACAGACCGGGGGGGGGTGACACGAGGGGGAGGCGACACCACTTGTGGCTCTTGGCGGGGGGGGGGGGGGGGGGGAGGGGGGGGTGATGACACCCCTTGGTGGCCGCAGCGCCGACCGGACGCAACCACAATTTGTGGGGGGGGGGGGGGGGTGTCGGGAGAAGGCGGGAGGGGGCGGGACCCGCACGTGGGGGGGGGCGGGGCGTGCAGGAGGAGGGGCGGGGCGTGCAGGAGGGGGGCGTGGCGTGCAGGAAAGGGGCGGGGCGTGCAGGAGGGGGCCGGGACCCGCGCGTGGGTGGCGGGGCGTGTAGGAAAGGGGCGGGACGTGCAGGAGGGGGGCGGGGCGTGCAGTAAGGAGGCGGGGCGTGCAGTAAGGAGGCGGGGCGTGCAGGAGGGGGGCGGGGCGTGCAGTAAGGAGGCGGGGCGTGCAGGAGGGGGGCGGGGGCGTGCAGTAAGGAGGCGGGGCGTGCAGGAGGGGGGCGGGGCGTGCAGGAGGGGGGCGGGGCAGCGCGCCAGCATCACCCACCCCCCCTCCCCCTCCCCCCCACCCCCCCCCAATGGAACCTTCTCGATCCTCTGGAGCCACTCGCGGTTCTGCGCCAGCTCGGCCAGGAACGCGGGGTGCTGCAGCCACGGCTTGGGGGGCGCCCGCGGGGGGGGGTCCCGCGAGGGGTCCGCGCCATCAGCGCCTTCTCGCGGGCCACGCATCCAGCTGCGGGGGGGAGCGCCACGGTGCGGGTGGGGATCAGGGGGGGATGGAGAGGGGGGAACCCCCCCTTGGTGCCCCCCGAAAATAAAAAAAAAATTAAAAAAAAAATATCATCCCGAAGGGGAGATTAGTCTGACTAGGCCATCATAGTCCCACCCCAAAAAAAAAAAAATCGGAGGAGCTTCCTGGGGTTTTTTTCTTAAAAAAATGAAAATATTGCCCCCCCTCTTAAAAAAAAAAAAAAAAAAATTATTTCAGGGTTGTTGTGAAAAAAAAAAAAAAATCCCACCCCAAAAATAAAAAAAAATCGGGAGGAGCTTCTTCTTTAAAAAAAAAAAAAAATCAAAATATTCCCCCCTAAAAAAATAATAATTCAAGGGTTTCCTCTTATTCTCAAAAAAAAAAATCTAAATAAATTCCCCCCCCCCCAAAAAAAAATCGGAGGAGCTTCCTCTTTTAAAAAAATGAAAATATTCCCCCCCCCAAAAAAAAATTGAAGGGTTTCCTGTTTTTTCCTATTAAAAAAATCAAAATATTCCCCCCCACCCCAAAAAAATAATTCAGGGGTCTCTTTTCTCCTAAAATAATCTAAATAAATTCCCCTCAAACAAAACATAATTCAGGGGTCTCCTCTTTTATTCTTAAAAAAAAAATGTAAATAAATTCCCTCATTCCAAAACAAAAATTAATGGGCCTCCTCTTTTATTCTTAAAAAAAATCAAAATATTCCCCCTCCTAAAAAAAACATAATTCAGGGGTCTCCTGTTTATTTCTTAAAAAAGAAAATCTAAATAAATACAAAAATTCCCCCCTCCTCTAAAAAATAATGAAGGGCCTTCTCTTTATTCTTAAAATAAATCTAAATAAATTCCTCCTCCTCCAAAAAAAAAATTCAGGCAAATTCTCTTTTTTTTCTTAAAAATGACCTAAATATTCCCCCCCCAAAAAAAATCGAGAGTTGCTTCCCCTCTTTTCCCCCCCCCCAAAAAAAAAATAAAATCAGGAGAAAGGACTCCACTTTTTTCCTAAAAAATAAAATAAATTAGAAACCCCCTCCTCTTGTTATAAAAACAAAAAAATTCAACTCCCCCCACTCCGTTTTTCCCCTTTTTTGCCCCAAAAATTGCGGAGGGGAAGGGGGAGAGGAACCCCCAGATTTAAAAAAAATAAGTAAATAAAAAAGGGGAGAGGAGCCCCCCAAAAAATCCCAAAAATAGGCGAGGGGAGCCCCAAAATAATCCCAGAAATAGAGAAGGAGACCCCCAAAATAATCCCAAAAACCAAATCCCAAAAATAGAGAAGAAGACCCCAAAATAATCCCCCCAAAAAAATCCACAAAATCGGCGAAGGGACCCCCAAAATAATCCCAAAAATAGAGAAGGAGACCACCAAAATAATCCCCCCCCAAAAAGTCCCAAAATAGAGAAGGAGACCCCAAAATAATCCCCCAAAAAATCCCAAAAATAAGTGAGGAGACCCCCCAAAATAATCCAAAAACAGAGAAGGAGACCCCCAAAATAATCCCAAAAATAGAGAAGGAGACCCCAAAATAATCCCAAAAATAGAGGAGACCCCCCCACAAAATCCCCAAAATAGGCGAGGGGACCCCCAAAATAACCCCAAAAATAAGAGAGGAGACCCCCCAAAATAACCCCAAAAATAGAGAAGGAGACCCCAAAATAACCCCAAAAATAGAGAAGGAGACCCCCAAAAAAACCCCCAAAATAGCCGAGACCCCTCCCCCCCCTTCCCGAAATAAAAATGGGAAAGGCCGCGAGCAGCCCCCCTCCCCCTCCCCCTTTTTCCCCAGAAAAGCGGCGGATTCGGGGTCGGGAGGGTCGGGGGAGGGGGTGAGGATGAGATGGAGGAGGGGGAGGGGGAGGAGGAGGAGGGGGATGAAGATGAAGATGGAGGAGGGGAGGAAAGGGGAGGAGGAGGAGGGGGATGGAGGCGATGGAGGATGAAGGAGCAGGAGGATGAGGATGGAGGCGATGGAGAGGAAGGCTCCGGAGGCTGCGGGAGGAGGCCGCGGAGGAGGAGGAGGAGGGTGAGGATGAGGAGGGTGAGGATGAAGAGGCCGCCGCGGGCTCCCGGCCGTGATGCAGCAGATCCCGGGCGGAGCGGAGCGAGCGAGCGAGCGCCGGATGAGCCCGAGGAGATCCGGCCAAAAAATCCCCGCAGCGGCGGGGAAGCGGCGACGGAGCCCGGGATGCCCCAAATCCACCCCAAATCCACCCCAAAATCCACACGAAATCCACCCCAAATCCACCCCCAAAGCCATCCCAAATATCCCCACAAAATCCGCCCCAAATATCCCCAGAAAATTCACCCAAAATCCACACAAAATCACCCCCAAATTCACCCCAAAATCCATCCAAAATCCACCCCAAATTCACCCCAAAATCACCCCCAAAGCCATCCCAAATATCCCCACAAAATCCGCCCCAAGTATCCCCACAAAATCCCACAAAATTCACCCAAAATCCCCACAAATTTCACCCCAAATCCACCCCAAAATTAACCCCAAATTCATCTCGAAACCACCCCAAATTCACCTCCAAAATCCACCCCAAATCCACCCCCCAAAATCCCCAGAAATTCACCCCAAAACCACCCCAAAATTACCCCCAAAGCCATCCTAAATATCCCTACAAACTCCACCCCAAATATCCCCACAAAATCCACCCCTAATCCACTGTAAATCACCCCAAAATTCACTCCAAATCCATCCCAAATTCAGCCCCAAAGATCCCCACAAAATTCACCCAAAATACTCGCAAAATTCATCCCAAATCCACGCCAAAATTCACCCCAAATCCATCCCAAAATTCATCCCCAAATCCACCCCAAAATTCACCCCCAAATCCCCACAAAATCCACCCCATATCTATCCCGTCACCCCAAAATCCACCCCACACCCACCCCCAAAATCCACACAAAATCACCCCAAATTCACCCCAAAATCACCCCCAAAGCCATCCCGAATATCCCTACAAATCCACCTCAAATATCCCCACAAAATCCACCCAAAATCCCCACAAAATTCATCCCAAATCCACCCCAAAATTAACCCCAAATTCATCCCAAATCCACCCCGAAATTAACCCCAAATCCATCCAAAATTCACCCCCAAATCCACCCCCAAAATCCCCATAAAATCCACCCCAAAATTACCCCAAAATTACCCCCAAGGCCATCCAAATATCCTCAAAAAATCCACCCCAAATCACTCCAAAATCCACCCAAAATCACCCCCAAAACCATCCCAAATATCCCTACAAAATCCACCCCAAATATCCCCACAAAATCCACCCCAAAATCACCCCAAAATTCACTCCAAATCACCCCAAAAATACCCCAAAATCCATCCCAAATCCACCCCCAAGGTCCCCACAAAATTGGCCCAAAATCCCCACAAAATTCATCCCAAATCCACCCCGAAATTAACCCCAAATCCATCCAAAATTCACCCCAAATCCACCCCCAAAATCCCCACAAAATCCCCATAAAATCCACCCCAAAATTACCCCAAATTCACCCCAAATCCACCCCAAAATTACCCCCAAGGCCATCCCAAATATCCCCACAAAATCCGCCCCAAATCACCCCAAAATCATCCCCAAAGCCATCCCAAATATCCCTACAAAATCCACCCCAAATATCCCCACAAAATCCACCTCAAATCCACCCCAAAATCACCTCAAATTCATTTCATAACCACCCCAAATTCACCTCAAAATTCACCCAAAATCCCCACAAGATCCACCCCAAAATTCACCCCAAATTCACCCACAAAATCCACCCCAAAACCACCCCAAGTCACCCCAAAATCCACACCAAATACATCTCAAAACTACCCCCAAAATCCCCACAAAATTCATCCCAAATCCACCCCAAAA